TCCTTCATCCCCTCCAGCCGCCTTACCCACACCTTTCCTACAACCTTTCGATGGTGGCATCGCCCAAAATTTCTCGAGTTTATCATGTTCCAATTTCTTTGCAAACATGACAAATTCTGCCCCTTTCCGCCAATGTCGGCCTTTTTCTCTTCTTCTGCAAGGGTCCAATGCTTTTGTCGACGTATGTCCGATCTTTGTCTGCGTAAATCCGCCTCTAACTTTGGCTTATAGGCTCAGTCAAACCTAACGCTCATGAACGCGATTATCTATGGGACGTGTAACACTACACCCGGAATTTCTCAATGCGAGTCGAATATGGCGTGGTTTGCGGGTGCCCTGAAGTCGGCATGTAGTAGCGAGCTGGGCAACAATAACGCCCTGGCTGCCAGTACGCTCACAGGTGCGTCGTAAAATAACGTCATGGAGATCTATACTCACCATTCAGGACATCAGCGCTTCAAGCATTCAGTGTCATGTACGACGCAGCATGCCAGGCCGATCCCACAACCAACAGCTACTGTTACATCGAAGCCATACACAACACAAACCCGTCCGATCTGTATTATTACGCCCTGCCACTGGATATCACCGTGCCGAACTCAACGGTGCCTACGTGTTCTCAATGCTCAAAAAGCGTTATGGGCGTATATGCAGCATCGCTGAAAGATGCGAACCAGAAGCCGTTGCTCACCGGCCTATCGCAGACGTATGACCCTGCGGCACAGCTCACGGTACAATATTGCGGCGCTGACTTCGCGCAGACATCTGTGGTCAGCGCCGCTCTAGTTTCCTTTGGCCGACCGCCGTGGATAGTAGCCGTGGCAGTGGGCGTCATCAGTTCGCTGCTGATGGGCTTATCATCATGATGTTGTTCTTCCACATTCTATTTCCTCTCCGTTGTTCTTTTTTTGGGGATTTTCTTTCGTTGTCGCTACTGGGTCGCCACATACTCTTCCTACGCACCTTCCATCCTACTGTTTTACTATCTAGGTATGTCTTTCTAATTCGGGCTTGCAGGTATGCGGGGAATACAGACAGTCAGACGGACGTCGCTTTACGCTATGTCTCTATCACATTTCTCCGTGGATACCTTTTTCATACTATTTATTGTCATCTATTCCCACTTTTTATTTTTATGTTCAATAGGGTATATCCTGCTTTTCTTTTTCTCACCTACATATCATTCGACACATGCCACACATCTTCTCATGAAGCAGTCCCCGTCTTCGAATCACAGCATTACCTTTCCCACCAGCTACACCGCGCACACACCTCTGCATCACCCACTATCTTCGCCGTTCGATGTATCGCCACCCCATCTCCGTTGCATCTATCAGGTCGAGACCCACCGCCCAGCGGCGCATGCGCATGCACACCCACAGCAGCGCTTGCGCCAGCCTGTCGCGATGTTTCTGACAGGGACACTGGACAGCGCTTTTGCGCTTGCCTGGGCGGCTGTCGTCGATGGGTAGTGGACGTGCATATCCGATGCCGCCGGTTTGTCTTCCGGCTTTAACTCAGGATCATCCTCTCCCCCTTCTTCACAGCAGTTTTCCCCCTGTACACACGCGTCTGAACCCGGTTAACGGACGTCCCCTCTGCAAAGTACTATACTATATCACGCGATATTTGGATGCCTTCTGTACAGTTTCGCTGTACCATCCGTTCTATTATTCTTATTCTGTCGAATGATACCGCTCATCTAGATGTTCGATTCGGAATGCATGGTGCGATTGATCTTTGAGAAGGTACCAAGAAGGTACAGAGAAAAATACGCTGAAACATAATTCCTTTCGTTTTCTCTTTATTCTTTCCATGAGAAAGTCTTATAAAGAACTCGGGTTGCGCCTAAAAACTTGAACGCGCGCAGGTCCGTTTCTGAAGTTCTCCTTGGACCGCGGGCCGAAGGGCTGTCGCAAAACAAGAACAAATACGATGTGCTTCGAAGGTGTTGAACGCGAACTATGATGGTTGCTCTTGTCCTCTATGTTTTGTGAGATATCAACTCTTAAAAGCGAACTTCCTGAATACCCGAAAAGCCCAAGAGCATTATAACACAGGCCAGAGTCACTTCTTGATGGTTTATTCTTAACCATGACATGACTCGCTACGCGTATGCACTGAAGAAATCCGGGTAATCAAACTTTGTTTTTTCAGACCGTTGACGATGGTGGATTGGTGGCCAGATCAGATATGAATCCCACCAGTGACAAGTCTTACCGATGGGACGTGATGAGCTCTTTTGGAAAAGACAACGCGTTCGGAATTGTCAGGACACGTCGTTCGACTTGGAGCATGCGGTTTGGTTAGAGGACGTGTTCAAAAGAGTTTCCTTCGTGTACAGGGAAGAACAAAGCGTATAGGTGTGTCTTTAAGCTCTTCTTTTTTCTCTTTTCGTCATTCCAATAGCACCATATGATGCGAACTTCACACCCTTGGAGAGGGACGCATAACGCACCTCGTTGAAACCCCAGACTCTGTGGTCCATCCCGTGTACACTCCCCGAGGAACCGTTCGGATCCTGGGTCAAGAACGGAAAGCTGATGGTGTAGTGGCGATGGCGACTTTGATGATATCGTCCTTGTTGAGAATCTTGGCTAATGGAACTTTTTTGCTTTGCTCAGATTACGAATGGAATGATTAATGATATGATCCATTGAATGCCTTGCAATCTGCTGTTCAAATCTATGAAGACCTTGAATCACATCTATGATGGCCAACCAATACACTTGTCTATTATCATTTGTAAGCTTTCGTTACGGGACCGGCGCATGCGTGCTAAGTATTTCATTCGGCTTACTTGGCTGTCTCCGGGACCGTTTGTATATCTGCGGCGCTTGATCCTTAACTGACAGTTACGTCCTAGATAAATATCACGCTCGTTGTTCGTTAATCGTGGACGTGTCAAGGTGCACAATTTTTATGGAAACTTGTTGAAAGTGAGCGACAGCCAGCGTCTCGATCATTTTTTATATATATAAATCGGTGACATATCAGTGTGTGGCCATGAGGAACCAATTAGACAAAACTCCTGACGTACACGAATGTGCGCACATACATATGCTGATCGTCATTTGGCGTTATATGCGTTACGGATATGTAAAGGCCATGATTGTAAGAGTTTCTTAAGGTAACTTCATGCAACATGGGTGCAAAGTTGTTCATTCTGGTCCAATGTTTTTCAACAGTGATTTTTTCGATTGAATTCAATTTCATTGTTGAATTGTACTTTGTACAATTAAAGGAATATAGTGCATATCCTCCAATCATACTTTCTCCTGCAGCTCTTTCTCAACCGCATCCGCCATCTCACCTAACGTCTCGAATCGCCACGTCCACTTATCCTTCGCCCCTGGCCCGCCAGGCGTAACATTGCACGTCACCGCCGACTGCCTATCGATCCACACACTGCGCATCCCGAGCCTACTCGCAGCCTCATGGTCGTGCGGCAAGCTCTGCGCGACCGACATCACCCTATCCTTCACTTCTTCCGCGCCAAGCCCCAATTCCAGATCTCCAAACACTTCGGGATGCGCGCCAAAGTAGTCCAGGGCAGCGAGGAAGCCGCCCAGTGCGGGTTTGAAGCACCCCGTGTCCTGCGCGGTCATGATAACGGTGAACGGTGATTTGGAGTGCGGCGCGGTCTGGGGGTGCCAATACTTGTTTGGGTTGGGCTCGGGATATGTGTAGGTGGCAAGATCGGCGGCGGCGATGCTAGCGGCGGAGGGTCCTTCGGAGAGCAGACGGTGCGTGTATCGGAAGGACTGACGATCGACATTCGAGAGCACGACAAGTTTGAAGTGCTTTGCAAGGCGCTGAAGCGCGTCGCAGGTGTCGGGGAAGACAGGCCAGTGTTGTATAGAGTTGCCGAACTTTGTGTGCTCGTTTTCCTCGGTGCCCTTCGCGCCCGCCGCGGACGTCGACGCGCCGGCGTCGGTGGTCGAAGCCGCTGCGGGGTCCGTCGTCGCCAGCGAAGCCTGCGCGCTTGTAGCCGCCCCTGCATTGTCAGCCCCGGAGAGCGCCTTGATCCGCTCCTCCATGATCTCGTGCACTTTGGCGAGGAGCTCGTTGTAGAGCATGTCGGGGAATTGCGCTTGGAGATCGCCCTCGACGGACATGAACGCGGACAACGCCTCGGCGCGTGTCCAGTTCTTCGAGACTGGGTAGCGCGTGAGGAGCGGATGGAGCGCGGTGAATATGCCTGATTCCCAGTCCTACTAACATCGTGAGCTTGAATTCGAATCAGCGACAAACTTGTGCTCACCGCGAGCGTGCCGTACACGTCGAAGATCAGGACTTTGTGGTCTGTGAGCTTCTTACTCGATGTCAATGGGCTGGACATGGTATCTTGAACTGATTGCAGGTGAGTGTTCGTATTGCTTGATGCTTGATAGAGGCGATTATCAAGAGGTTCTTATACCGTGAAAGAGTGGAGGACGGATCGCCCAAATCAATGACGCTTGGCTTTCGCTCGGGACCGACGTCATGAATCATATATTTAGGCGATGAGAATCAAAGCCAAATGCCTTCGCCGCAGCGCTCAGCCATATGGACCGCGAGTCGATATCGCAAGCTTGAGGGTGCCGAAAGGTTGGAAGGATGGAAGGAATGAAGGGAGCAGGACCGGCCATGCCGACATCTTGTAAAAAGGGAGAAGAGTTGCCGCACTTTTCTTTGGTTCGCCTTGACAGACTTTGATTTTTATCTACATGCCTACCAAGACAGCAATGCATCCCAAAGATCCTTGCTATCGATTTAAAGTGAAGTCGGTGCTCTGGATTTTTCTCCCAATTTGTTTTCACTGATTCGAACTCTCGTCGAAATTATATCAAAGCCCTATGAGTGGTCAAAATAATCGCATTGTGTTGAGTTGTACGGTACTTCATCACCCAAACAACCGAACGAACAAAAAGTATGAGTTTCCTTCGGGTACCATGAGTACATTTATATGATGCGCTTGGTCTGCAACGTCAAAGTTCCATATACAAAAGCAAAATATTTGATGAGAGTGGGATTCGAACCCACGCCCCGGAGGACCAGATAACCGTTCGTTTGAATAGTCAGTGATGGGCAAATAATACCCTAGTCCTTAGTCTGGCGCCTTAGACCGCTCGGCCATCTCACCACATAAACGTTGTTCTTTATAGATACCCTTGACCGTTGGCAGCGTTCATCACAATCAAATAAAGAGAAACAATCCATGCCAGTCAACAACTTGTTCGTGAATTGTTCTGGTTTCTCCAAGTTCTACTATTCAGCGCTTCAGCATTCGGCGCTCAGCTCATATCTAGCGGTCTCTTACTTATCGTCTTCTTCGGTCAAGTTTTTGAACCTCCACAGACCCATCACTGAGTCGTCCAAAGTTCCAAACCCAACAAATTTCGTCACTCCGGACCCGCCGCGTTCCTAGCTAGATTCTCAACAGTGACTTGGACAGCCTGTCTTCGGCCCATGAACCACGTTGAAGCCACGTTGTACTCCATGGGGAGTGTATCTTTGGACTCTCCGACAATCTCTCGGTTTTTTACGCAGCCGATCGTCCAAATCGATGTCGAACTTCAAGCAGACTTCTAGCGTCGAGAACGATACCCATCGAGAACACTACTAACCTGCCGACGACTCAACACAAAATGCAGCCTGTTTCACACAACCGAGGCTTCGTTAAACGAGTCCTGCATAGCGCCCGACCTCTAGTAAATGGACTGTATGGACCGTTCATTCCGAATATTTGCCTCAAATTTGCCTCAACCTACTTTCACCATTCACGCCTATGATTAGTGTGTATTCTCGAACGCTTACTGCAAACCTCCCTGTGACCATTCTCTCTTCTTATAACCCCGCATTTCTGACCCGCCATCTATTTAAATACTATTTACAAAGCGCAACCGCAACTTTTTGACTTCCTCTCGAGACCGAGAATTATCCCTTTTCGCTTGATTGTGCAGACTTAGCCTGCGTTTTTAGCACATGGCCAAGGTTTCGTCGAGATTTCGGAGAGCTTGGACGAGGAACGAGATCCTATTGGACGAGAGTGCTCTTATAATTGGCTCATGGGGAGAAGCGAAGTTCAGGGTTATGACGAATCCATCAAGACGACACAAGTTGTTGCTTATGGAACTATATCTCCCGAGGAGCACTTTTTCGCGAGTATAAAATGGAGCTCAAAAAATGTGTTCAGAGCAAGATTCACTGAAGCAGTAAATCCTCAAGATGTTTTCCGCCAAGGTCATATCTGCGGCGTTGCTCTCGTTCGCAACGCTTGTGTCATCGCACTGTAAGTCCACCCTCTTTTCGACTTTCTCGAACCAATTGCTGAACAATGAGCTGTTTTTTTGGCAGACACCTTCCCCTCCCTCATCGCCAACGGCGTCGTTACTGGAGCATGGGCTGACGTGAGGCAGACCAACAACTACCAGAGCAATGCTCCCGTGAGTCTCATCCCATCGATCCCCTTAGTCGGAATCTCATCCAATACAGGTCACCGATGTCACCAGTGCTGACTTCAGGTGCTACAACTCCGCCTTCCCTAATCTCCACCCCGGCACCGCCACGGTCTCTGCAGGATCGACTATCGGCTTCCAGGCTAGCCAAGCTGTCTACCACCCTGGTGTACGTTCAACATTAACACGCATCTATTGACAGTTAATAATATTTGGTGGTTATCGTATGACAGGTCGTGAATGTCTACATGGCCAAGGCGCCCTCGAATGTGACGAATTGGGACGGAAGCGGTGCCGTCTGGTTCAAGGTCTACCAGATCTCAGCAGTCACTAACGGTGGATCGACCATCACTTTCCCCGCTCAAAGTACATCTGATGTCTTCTCTAGCAGGGAAATTTTCTGACTAAACCCCTTTTTGTATCCAGATGCTCTCTCCTACAGCTTCCCCATCCCCAAGGCCACCCCCTCTGGCCAGTACCTTGTCCGCATTGAGCAAATTGCTTTGCACGCTGCGTCAACCTTCCAAGGCGGTAAGCACATTAAGTCAATATCTGGGACGTGTCCAAGCGATACTGATTCTCTTATCACTTTCGTTTGCAGCCCAATTCTACATCAGCTGTGGACAGATCAACGTCACCGGCGGTGGAAGCGGTACTCCTGGACCTCTTGTCTCCATTCCCGGAGTCTACACCGGAAACGTAAGGCCTCTTTCGACCGAAGGTTATACGCACAATTACTGATTTCGTATTGGTTATAGGAACCTGGAATTCTGATCAACATTTACTACCGTGAGCCTTTTATCTTTGAATCTCATTCCTCGCTTTTTAAAATAATCTCTTCCTCTTTCCAGCCGTCCCTGCTACCTACACTCAACCAGGACCCGTACGTCATTTTCCCTTTTCCTCCCTTCCGAAACGACGCAATCTGATACTAAATTTCTGCATAGGCTGTCTGGTCTGGGTGAGCGATCCATTTCTACCAACATTAACAAGTAAAGAGGAAAGGAAACTGGTATATTCAGTGGCATTCGTTTACACCACATATATATTATCGTATGTCGCACGCCATATTCGCAATCAATTTTTTTTTTGCTTTCACTTGGGTGGAGAGCATGCGTTTCCTATCTTTCGTTCCTGTCAATGTTTATTTGGTCTGTTTAGAAAGACTATCTCTTGTCATCGATAACATTCCACCCAGGATCCCGACCATATACGTAGCTCAATAGCTCAGAGGTTTTTTGAAGCGCATTGTTTCTATCATGACGAAAGCTATCAGTCTATTAGGTTCTGTTTCCCGGGATTCCTATCGACACTGCTGCTCAAACTAACTTAACTGGAGAATTCCTCGATTTTATACGCCGAATGCTATATATTAGTATCGGGGAAGACTTCTCAGAGAAGCTCTCATCTCGTCCTCCGGATACACTGTCTCCCATACGAGAATACTGATGCGCGACGCCAGCTTCGGTGGTTTTAAATCTGTAAACAGTAGGTATGAGACCAGCAGGAGGAGCACTTGGCAAAATAATGAACGCATGATTGTATTCTTGCACGCCTCTCGCAGGGGGAGAAAACCGATGACAGTAATGAACAAATCTGAATATCTAATAATGACAATGAGACTAAGCTGCGTCCAACATTCGACACTCAGAATAAGGTCCTATGGCATGCATTGCCATCATCGATGTCAAGTTCGTTTAAGGTCATATTGAGAGAATCTCCATGATATTTTTGGTACTCGCATACAAGAGTACCTTGAATGCAGTAAGCGCGGCAATGGCGTTAAGGTCGTCGATGTGTGCGAATACGTTTGGGGGTCGGCAGTTCCTAGACCTGAGGCCTGAGGAGCGGCTTGATTGATATATATATATAATATTGGCCTTCAGTGGGCGTTGAGATGCGAAAGCTTGCATTCTATAGCTCCTTCATTGGTGTTGTCGAGTACAAACAGCAGAAACGATGAGCAGGGTATAAATATTACGACTGGTTGCAGTTATGAATCGACAATTACTCCCCCCAAACACGAGTTCAGGTACTGTCTCGATATTCCACTGTAACAACCCACTGATGGCTCATATCTAGATTTTCAGAACCTTGGTAAATTTGCTGAGCCGTCTATTTTGAGTAGAAGCTAATATACTTCCAGACAATGCATTTCTCTAAGATAATCGCTTCTATCGTCGTTCTCGTCGTTACCGGTGCACTCGCTACTTCCAATATGCGCGACGAAGGCAACGACCTCGCAGAAGTACCCCGCGAGACCGAATTTGACACGTTCGAACGAGGAATGGACGCTGCTCCTGGATGCGATGAGTCCGAGATGGATAGCGCAGACCAAATGGACAACTTCTCGCCAGTTAGACTCTCGTCTTTGGAATGGGGCGCGAAGCGCATCTGCTTGTTCGGACCCTGCCTCCGTCGTCACTCTTCTCGCAGGAGGTGCCCCCGAGGCTACAGCGTGCTGGGTTATAAGCGCTGCGGATGGTGGCGCGTTCGCGCATTGTGCTGCCGTCCCTTGGGTCATAGCCGTCGCTGGCCCAGAAATCAGCTTGCCGACGGTGAGGCCGAGGATTCAGAAGAAGACGAGTCCGCCGAGCAACATCTCGACGAACTCGATAATTGATCTGTTGGGCATTTGGAGGCGAATGGGTTTCGCAGCCCTGTAAAAGCTTTCTTTGACCAGTATAATTGTAATCATAAGAAGTGGACGTAGATACTTTATATGATACGTGTCGGCGAAACACGGTGAGGTCTAGATAGAGTCAATGTAGTTCGTTATGACGGGGGAAAGGATCGTCTTCGTGAGCTGGAATCTGCATCCCGACGTCTTCAGTTTGCCTGACTTTTATCACTTCGTTCGCTGAGTTTCGCGTGATTCTCGCTGAAACATATGGAAGATATCTGCCGCTGATACTCGTTACAGTTTCCAGGCGCGAACACATTCTAGCCAACGCCTCGGCGCCAGAGAGGAAGTCCGATATATATGGTCCCTGTTTTTCATCCGGTATGGACGTGCCCAATCTTGGGAATGGCGCGAACCCATAGAAGTAGAATCTCGTCAGCTTCCTGAACTGTGCTAAAGTAGGACCAATCGTTTGCTATTGAGTCGCGAACATCAGAATCAAAAACAAAGAATATAAAGAAAATCACGCACCAGCTCTTCCGAACTAAACCACATACCCTGCAGTCCGAGTTCCTCTAAGTTTGGCGCACCTCTGACAATGGAATGCATGTAACTGTCCATGAAAGTCCGAGGGATCCTCTTCTTAACTTTTTCTAGTCGGAATTCTCCGTCCAAGGTTTCGTACCATAACGCCCCTTCCAATTTGCGAGAATTCCATTCACCTGCTTCCTGCATGATCTCAAGGGATTTTAGATTGGGAAGGCCATCTGGAAGGACTTCTCGGAGGAGATAAGGGACTTGCGCATTTAAACTTTCCTCGAATGCGAGGCTAACGAGCTGCGGAAGGATGGGCACCAAGCATCGAACATCTTCGAACCTCGCCTGCAGAACATAATGAGTAAATAAAACAGAAAAAGGACCAACGCAGAATTTGCGTACCTTCAGATGCTTTAGATTCGGCAGGAATCCTTCCCTTACATCCTTGGAAAACCATGTGTGCATGCAGTCGAGAAGCGAAAGGCTCTCAAGTTGCGGATGCCGATCGAAAAAAGCCATTACTTT